AAAAATGAGGAGGGAATATTAGAATAGGAACACAAGGCTTCAATGGAGTTAAAGGGATACAACAGATATTTGTGTTTGTTGGAAATTTTTTTTTATGGCAGCAGTATTTGTTGATGTTTATTTTTCTCCTCTTCAGTAGAACTGTGTTTGTTAATAATTCTAATAATAAAACATCCACAACCAATGTAAGATTTGCCAAATTTTCAAAATTGTGGCTAAATTGAAGAGAAAAAAAAAAAAGGACTTCTATCTTTTTTCTTCCTTTTTTTTGTTTTGTTTTGTTTTGAACTCTCCCTAAACCCACAGCACCAGGTGTGAACTGGCAGCACCTCCACAGTGACTGCGGCCACCAGGAGTTCAAACACACCCATTGGCTTCCCACTGTCAGTTGCAACAATTATTGCAAATGAACAGACACCACAAAACAAAACAGAAGCCCAGCCCTGCTAGAACCTACTCGCAGATGGACAAATTTGTTATTGTTTTCACGATCTTTTGCAATGTGTTTGCAGGTTTCTACAGCCTTGTTTAAATTCAAGCAAGGACCTTTTTGCACCAACTTTGCAGGATTTCATTTGTGAGTTGTACATTTAATTCTCCACAGCAGATGGTGATGTGTGGGTGTACCGCTGTATATTTGCAACAGATTCCTTATCCTACAAAATTAATTGTCTCATGTGCTGATTTAAAATCAGAATTGCATTGTTTGTAAAAAGCTAATTCTTGCATATCATTTTGCTGGGACCCGTGCAACTCAAGCACAGTGTAAGGAAGAGAAGGCTCAGTGCTTCTCTATAGCACATGGCAGCGCTGCCAGTCCTGTGTGCAGTCTAAGAGCTCGAGATCTCCGTGTTTGTTACTGAAATAAATGTCCTTATTTGATTCTCTTGTGGGGTCTGAAAGGGTGCCGTGGTCTGCGCAGCTGCTGCTGGGAGGAACCCTGGCTCCTTATGGCCCTTGGTGCAACGCTGATGGCTTCTGGGGTGGGATCCTGCACTCAGCACATGGTGTGCATTAGGGCTGAGGGACAGAAGGAAGCGGCCTTGTGCTGTATGTGCCTGGGAGCAAGCAGCAAGAGCACGGGCAAGGCTGGTGATCCCACTGCTGCGATGTAAGGAGGGCACTTGGCTGAGGAGCAGCTCAGGTAGCAGACTTGGGATTTTGATCTTTTGCTATTTCAATGGGAGATAATTTGTAGCCTCTTAACATTTAAAATTTGAGTGAAATTTAATACAAAATAGTTTAAGCTCTTTAAAACGAGCTGGCTGTTTACAAATGTGATACAAGCTTGTCGATGGCAAAATGTCAAGCTTTGTGTGAAAAGCAGCTGCTTACGTGTGTGTGTTTACATCCTCTTCCCAGCTATTTCTGCTGAAAGGGCATTTCAGAAAATTGCTGATATGATGATAGATGAACCTGTCTGACATCAGATGTGGTTGGCTTAAGTTAATTGGACCTTGTGTCTGTCCCTCTGTTTGCCTTCCTTCCTAGAGTCCTCCCTGGTGCACTTACAGGCTTTCTGAAATGTGGGATATGAGAACAGGAGCTCGGTGACACCTCAGTGGGTCAGTCTCTGTGCGCCCTGCACACAGTGGTTCTGCTGATGGCCTCAGCTGTGCCTGTCACCAGTACTCGTGGTTCTTGTGTGCTGGCAGTGACCCCTCACCACCCCTGGGATCACAGCGGTTGCTCAGCACTGGGCTGCAGGGGCTGCGCGCCCTGTGAGGTGTGTGTGGGTTTTGCTTTTTGGTTCCTTCCAGCAGCTCTTTTTTGCCCACTTCAGAACCTACTGAAGCTCGGCTGCATTGTCTCCATCACTTCTGGGTTTCAGAAGTCAGTTATTTTTAGACTAGAAATACTGGATTAGCCTGAGACGGCAAAGCTTTTGTAATGTTCTGGATTTGATCTTTCATTCTGCTCCCAATGAACAATGAATTACTGCTGTGCAGTGAGCCTGGGCTTTGAGCTCCTCAGGGCAGGGAACGAATCTGCCCAGTCCTCGCTCGCTGACCCGGCTGTACCTCACCTCATTGCAGCCACTGAAGGGGACGTGCAAGGTGACAGCCCTGCCTGCTCCAGGTGATGGCAAAAAGGGACAGTCCCCCGGGCCTTTCTCTCTTGCCCCCACAGCTGAGCCAAGTGCTCAGTAACCTGGGTGAGGCAGGGTACATTCAGCCCCCATGCAGTGCCAATGGAAGCAATTAATGGTAACAGGAATGAGTCTGCAAGCAACAGACCGGCCTGCTGCCATAGTACTGGAAGCCAGGCTCCCAGAGCAGAAGCTCAGGGCCTTCCCCCCACCAGCCCCTGCCCACCCTCACCCCACCCCACTCAGCCCAAGCACAGCGCTGAAGGAAGCACCCTCCAACCCCCCAGGTGATTTTCCATTTAGGCAGCAGGCTCGCTAATTGCACGGTGATTACCCTTTCATGAAAGGAATATAAAACTTGATTGCTTCCAGTAAGTGGTAGGGAGCAGTGGTTCGGAGCAGAGCCTGTGTTTCAGTGGGAATTCCTGGATCTGCTCAGGCAGGATGGGTGCAGGCAAAGGCACCACCTGTAGCCCCTTTTATCCAGCACACAGGTGTGCTGCTCTCCTAAAGCAGGTCAGGACTTTACATACCACAGCCATGCCACCAACGTGGCTTTTTGCTTTTCTTAAACAGACATAAAAGCCTTTGTACAGCTCCTGTAAGAGTATTCATGAGTGCGATACGTAACAGGGACGTGGGCACCTTACATCAAGATGCTGAAGAACAGCAGCTGAGCCTGAAGTGGACTTAAGGAAATTAGGCCCTTTCATAGTCATCACAACCCCCAGGGCACAAACAGGCTCCCGCCTTAACCAGCCTGCCCCATGCTGCCTTCTTACTGCTGGTCTGGCCATGTGAGGTACACAGCAGAAAGGAGGGGAAAAAAAACAAATCAGGTGAAGGGAACAGATGGTGTGGTGTACCTGGTGGCATTCTATTACAAGCACTACTGCCTGGGTAGTTTGTTTGTTTTTAAACAAAGTAGGTTCAGATAAAAAGAAGTGGACTGGTGCACGTTGAAGCCCAAAGTGTACGTCTGCATAGAACTAGAGAAGGCATGCTTCAGGGCCAAGTCTTTAAACAGAGCCACTGCTTCCTGTATTTCACATCGTAGAAGGGGCAGATTGATTTAAGGATGAATAAAGCAAACTGTAAATTTAAGAACCAACTCATGCTGGGGCCTGACATTAATTATTATAATCAACAGGGTAACTTAATCTCACAAAAACACGAGTTTATTAATAGGTGAAGGAGCTGAAAAATTGCACAGTCCATCCAGCCCACTGATACTTCTCCTAATCTGTTACGAGATTCAATGCTGCAGTTTTACAAGGTACACATTCTCAATTAGTGAATGTTACATAACATAAACATGAAGTGAATATTTGCATTAATGGGATTCAAACAAGTCAACTGAAATATCAACTGTTATAACATGGTGAAAAGAATCAAATTGGGAATGTGGTCACACACTGTTGTACAGCAGGTATGTACACTGTTTCATCTCGCGTGACATTCACAGCATGGTCATAGAAAAGTCAAAGTAAATGACTTAGAAAATATTAATGCTGAAATTCTCATTACTGTTGTTTAGAGTTGATACTGAGTTAATATTTTCGTTGTGTAAAAACATCGTATATGGTAGAAACCCTTCAGCATCTCCCACATTCAAATAAAGGTATTGAATCACAGTTACAATTTGGTCTTTGGTGTCAAACATCTTAAATGGCAGATTCCTTCTTGCCTTCAGAAGGAGAAAAAACAAATAATGAATATTCTTAGTCTGGTCCAACCAAGACATTCGTCTCCGAGACCTTGCTTCTGAGATCAGACTAACATCTCCCTCATTGAAGGTGTGGCTGGGATCACTACGACATCTGAACACGGTTAAAAATGTGGAAAGTCCATAGCCATTCTACACACTTTCATTTATTGTCTGGACAATTAAAGTACAAATAATTCAAACACAACAAGGTTATGAAAAAAACATTTACAATACTTTCCCTCAGAAATGATCTAAACTAGCAAGGTTAACATGAAGTCATTCATTATAACTAAAGTATACAACTGCCTGGTCCTAAGAAAGATTTTTTTTTAAATTATTATTATTCAGATAGTAAAACACATTGTAGAGAAAAGATTCTGACATGCCTTCCCCACTAATGCTTAGCAAATGCATCAAAACTTTCCCAGCAAACTGCGCTCATTCATAGCAGATGATGTATAAAGGTTTCCCTGAACATTGAATGAGTGTTCCTTTAAACTAAAATCTAACATTGTTAAAGTAAAAAACTGATAAAATTATGATGCAGCCTTTGCTTCAGTTATTTGTCTACTACAAAAGTTTGCCTCTTCAGTGTGAAAAAACAATACTTAGTCTACATGCAGTTAGTGGGTATAGCATGGAAAAAATGCACAAAATAAGCACAAGTTATAAATAACCATAACGTTTTATTACCATTAAGACTAAACTTGTATTGAAAAGATTTTATATAACAAGACAAGAAAAGCAATAGCAAATTTAACTATCAACTAGATTATGCATAGCGAGTAACTGTTTCTAGTACTCAGGGAAGAGCATGACCCTTTTTTGTTTTAAATATATAACCGTACAAAGCACAAACATACTAAAATGATCAGTGCACTGGACATGGGAGAGCACCCCCTCAGTCATTTTGTTCCCTTAGCTCTGTTTTCCCCAATCTGAATTACATTAAAATAAAGACCCAGTTGTTTTCTTTTCTACTGTGCAGTAAGAAAAAATATTCACAACAAACATGACAATATATCAAACAATATTTCTACACAAGTTACCTTGATACCTCTGTCACTTAAGTATCATAAGAAAACATTTTAAGACATATACAAACAAAACTAGCAAAGTGTTACAACTTATAATAAATTAACCAAAAGAAAAAATAACTTTATATATATATATATTTATATTATATATACACATACACACACAACAAAATGACACAATAATATGCTTCTTCCCATAGTTTAAGTAAACAAATAAGTAGACTAGCCAAACTAGCTATATTTGATTTTGGCCATATGCATCACATCGGCAATTAAATAAATAAGTGTTTCAAGCAACATAAACAGTGTTCCAAATGTGCCAACACAGCCCAATTATATTAGCATGGGCTATAAAGTGAATTTGAAAATTCTTAACAAATTTAAAGCAAATGTATTCTTTCTAAACACATTACATTTAACTATGATACTAAGATATGTAAATAATTTCGTAGCACCTACTGCTCAAACCAAGGAAGTTTTTGATCAAAATTAAGTTTTTTTTCTTTTTTTTTTAAACTTTTGTTCTGCTGATATCCCATACTGATGACTTAAAGAAAAACCATCTTGCAACTCATCTCCTTGCTTTTGGGTTTTGACTGTGGGTAACTGCGTGCCTGGGAAGAACACTCTCCCGTACTGTATTTAATATTTTTATTACATGCTATGAAAAGATACGAAGATCATCTGTTTGTAGCCCATCCTTCAAAAAACAATCTACTAATCCAGTTTAAAACACACATCTTGATCTCTAAAAAGTTACCAGTGCAGTATGAACATGACAAAGTTGTCAATTTCCCCTAAATTAGCCAGTCAAAATATTTTTTCTCAAATCCAGATTCTCTTGTAAAAATTCTTTATATTTTATAAAAATAGATTTTTCTTGAAACCCATTTTCAGCAAAGAGACCACCTCTTTGGCAACATTGTTAATGTTATTTAAATTGTTATGTCATCAGGTATCCCCCTCTACCCCATTCCCTAACAGAAGACTGTTTAGTTCACATGATATAAAAGAAAAAAGGAAAAATAAAAAAAGTTGCAAAATTATGTTCTTCTTTTTGCAATTTTTATTGTTCCTCTTTAATTTACCAGGGGGGTTTACCAATCTGATTAGATCAATGTTTTCAAAAGAAGAAAAGAAAAGAAAAATCTTTTTTCTCGCTTTTAATCCCATTAGTTTGTAAAAATTGTTTCTGTTTTCTTATTTTTTTCAAATGAGTGAATGGTCATCTTAAAAAGACCCACCTTCAAGGAAGGTAGTAAAACTAGCTGGCCGGGTAAAAATCCCTGCACATTGTTATCTATGTATATTATATTCAACAACGACAGCTATGAAAGAACATTCAATGCATCAAAGGTTTTTTTTTTTTTTCTAAGCATTATAAAATCCTTTCCTGTTCCTCACAGGATATCCAATGTTTTAATACTTAGGCAACACTGGCTTATAAAGTCCATGGTTGAATATAAGCCTTGAAGAGTTTTTTTGTTTTGTTTTGTTCGTATATATATTTATATATATATATTTTAGTAAGTAAGGATATGAAATTCAGGATTTGTGGGTTTTATTGGTTTTAAAGGAAACTTGCAATACTCTGTCTCCTAAACGGTATCCATTAAGGCTGGCAATCGCCATGGCAGCTTCGTCGTAGTTGGTCATGGTGACAAAGCCAAATCCCTTGCACTTGTTGGTGTTGAAATCGCGGATCACCTTGACGTTATTGACTGCTCCGAAGGGACCAAACAGCTGCCACAGCACGCTCTCATCTGAGTCGGGAGACAAGTTGTAGACGAAGATGCACCATCCAGTTCCAGTGTGACCAGGGATATTCATTCCGACAAGGCTCGTCATACCATCAATTGTGATCGGGGAGAACCTACCAAGTAAAAAGAGGGGTCTATTCTAAATATATCTCTTGGTAAAAGCTACACGGAACCAAGACTTCAAAGTAAATAACTGGGTGTTAACTTAGGTTCTCAATCCTATCCCTGGAAGATTACCACGTAGCAATCTGAGTCTCTAACTCCTATGCATGCGGAAGGGACCTCTACTAGATAAAAAAGAGTGAATCTGGGCATAAAGGCTTTTCCCTCCGAGGATACAGCCAACTGAAATGTTATAAACATCCAGAAGCCTGTCCTTAGCACTTCTTTCAAGTCAAATACGGTCTTCACATTCTGCTTAAAAGAGTCCGTAGAAGTTGGCCTCATATTTCCAACATCATGTTTCAGAGCGATGGAAAACTCTTTACTTGTAAGAAGTTTGCTGTGCAAAAAACAGAGCCTCCAAAGTTTAAATGAAGGAGTAACAGGAAATACCATTGTTAGGATTCACCTGTACCAGTAAGCTCTTTTGGCTGAACGTACCATCAGAGAGCTCTGGAAGTGGTAGATTTTAGTTCTCCCCTCACAGCCCTTATCTGACAAACTAGGAAAAAAAAATCCAGTTTAAAGAGTCCTAAAGCCAGTCAGCCAAATATACAAAGATTTACACAGCAATCACAAAGTAGAAAAGTCCATCAATGTAATCATGGGGCATATGTCACTAATACCTTCACAATGTGAGACTCCATGTCCATAGCAGGATCTAAGGCTCTTCAGATAGTCAATGTAGAGAGAGACAAGCTCCTGGAAACCTAACACAGAACTCTAAGCCCCCTGCACTGCCTTTTACCCCTTTTTTAGGGGCCTGTTGTGCTTATCTGAACACGTGAACTAGAAAGCTGAAGCCAGGTGATGCGTTCATGGACAAAGAACTGACACAGATAAGCACAGGCTGGGCAGGACCTATGGAGGACATCTGAACAGCCTTCTGCTTGAAGCCAGACTAAATGGAGTGAGACTGGGCCTCACCCACAAAGGTTTTGAAATCTTCAAGGGTGGGAACTTCACTTGCAAAGCCTCTGCTCTGGGTTTGACCATCCTCACTGTTCACAATTCTTCCCACACATCCAGTTGAATTTCCCCTGCCGCAGCCTGTTTCTGTTGACTCTTGCCCTTCTGCAACTGACCTCCCAGAGCTTGGTTTCATCTTCTTTTTAATGCCCTTGCAGGTATCTGAAGACAGCAGTCAGGGGCTGAATTCCGCATTTGCCTTTCCTGAATTTCTCCAGGTTCCTCCAGCTCAGCAAGGTCACCCCAAAAGCAGCCACAGCCAACAGCACAAGGACTGCCCCCACTCCTGCACCACACCAGTGCTGCCCATTCAGGGAGGTGTGCTGCAGCCTGTGACTCAGGTTATTAATGAAGATGTTAAGCAGCATCAGCCTTCAGGATCAACATAATTTTCCTTTCATGAGTTTGAAAAACAGACATGATTTCTGAAGCTACACTTTGGGGTGTTTTAAAATAACTGCACAGAGAAAAAGTCTTAATAAAAACCTGGTTTCACACCAATTCAATGATGAGTTTTAATACCTGAACTGAATAACAATTGTTCTTCAAGAATTTGAGTGAGGACTGAGGGAGTGGAGGGGGGGCACTCACAGCATCACTAAGATGCTCGCATTCATGCTCCAAGACTTCTTTTATAATTCCAATGTTTCCACATCCGTTTTGCTATCCACACATTACGCAGCGCACACTTCATAATCATAAAAGAAACTGCATACTTGATGGCTGCTTCTTTTGACTCCTGATGGCACTTTATACATATATTTGAGGAGAGTAGATGCTTGGAATATCCATTTGGAGCTTAAGAACATCACTGGGGTATTGCTACGCTATAAATGAGCAGTTTGCAAGAGCTCACAGCCTTGGATCCTCAGACATACACAGACATTTGTAAAAACAGCTTATTAAGAATAAATGACAGTCTTCCTACTGAACTTCACTTTTGCAAGTGAACATCCTTTCGTTTCTCTCCCACATACCGGATCTAGCAACAATATCGCAACGGTTCGTTCAGCACAGCTCTGCTACCTTGCTTCTAAAGCTCAGGAAATGGAGACAGCAGGACAAAGCCAGTTCATATGATCTTTTTACCACCTGACATGGTGGAACTTACAAAGAGCAGCAAGGACAAGAGCTTGTACAAGCCAACAGCTTCACATTCCTTTAAAGTCAGGAAGATGGAACTAAAAGCCTGTTGCTGTTAAGTGCCAACTGTGCTAGTAACATATGTAAGCCAGGAAAACAGTTGACTGTTTTCTGCTATGTTTAAATTTAACATGAAGACAGCACTAATATGTACACAATCCTGTCCGTGACATTACTATAAAACTGTACAGTGCACAGAGCCATGCCTATCATGCTCTTCCATAAAATTCTGCATGGACACAAAGGGTTTCACACAGTTTACTGAAGAGCAATTTTTCCCCTTGAAACATTCAGGCCGCTACACAGCTTTCTATCAGCAGGCCATGAGCACAGGAGCTAACATGACTCCAAGAAAACAACCATGAAACCAGTACAAGTTTATGGACACAAATACAACATTACCTACTGCTGGGAGCAGAGCTCTGAGTTACACGCGACCTGAAGTCAGTGTCAATAAAACCTATGATCCACCCCAGCATATCTCATCTGCTGCCTGTATACAGGATGCAGGAGAACAAACTGAGTCCCCAAATCCAGGAACACTACACAGTTCAGAATCAGTTCCAGAAGTCATACAGTATTTTTCTAGTGACCCTACACCTATAATTACAGAGTTTGCTAGTAAAATTTTTCAAGACCTGAAGGGAGGAAAAAAGCTTCTTCAAAATGCCTGAAGAACAACTAGTTAAAACAAACAAGCCGTTGCTATTTCAAGTTTATGCAGATGTATCACGAACAAGTAGGGAACTCATTTTTGTTCTCTCTGAAGGTAATATGAAATCAGAACTGTGAAGTCTTGCTAGTCAGAACCAAGCACTGCAACTCTGGAGGAGAAAAAACCCAAAGAAAACTCCCTGAATACCACCATCTTCTAAGAGTTATTCACATCTGATAGATGTTCGAGGCTCTGAGTTCTGCAGTTTCCAGCAATTCATCAAGAGACAAAAGAGGGAAGAACTCAGGAGAAGCAGAGCATGATAGGCTGGTGCTAGTTCTGAGACCACCACCACCAAGATCACAGTCATGAAAACAGTGCACTGATGAACACAAGGAGCGTGCAGGGAAAGCATGCAGCCTGTTTTGAACACTGCTTCACTTCCACAAAGCGGTCTTGCAGTCTCTGTACAGCAGCTACTGTGGCAGCAGTTAGAAGTATGCTGCTGTCCTCTGCCAGCTACAGATATACTTACCATACCATTCACAGCGTGAGCTTTTTAAAAAATACCAAGCCATTTTCACATGTCATGAGCAGAGCACTTCAGAAGATTAAGTAGTATTTTCTCATCTTAACTGTGGGAATAGCTGGACGTCTTACATTAGGAGTAAGACCACACCTTTATTTTGCTGCAAAGTTCGCTTGAACTGATGTGTACCATTAGGAGAAACACTGACAATGTCAACTCATTTCAGCTATCAGACATTAAACACACTGATGAAACAGCATAAGTGACATCAGCTGGACTTTCACACACAAGAGCACATACAAACAAACACCGCTACTTGAAACAAAAAAATAAATCAGGCATCACTAAAATTTCAAAGTATAAAACCTGTAACAAAAGAAACGTAGGGCAGATTAAGGTGCACGCAGCTACAGCCTGAAGTCAAACTTGGGAAGCCTGATGTAGGACAATGAAGGTCTTAACTGAGATTTGGACAGTAGTAGTCGAATTCCATTTTCAGCTGTTACATTCCACACAATCAAATAAGAAATTACTTAAACTCAAGTTAATAGTTCTGATTCTGAACCAAATAGACAGGACGACTTGAGTTTGAATGCTTGTAGCTGTTGCACCTCAACCATTTGAGAAGCCCGCCTGTAAATAAAAAAAGGTTGAAAAACCCACAGAATTTGTGTGGCCTTGAAAAGGAACAAAACCAACTGAAGTCCAAACTTAAAAAGAATTTGACATGCTGGTGGAAGAAAAGGAATTAAAAAAAAAAATAAAGTTAGTGAATTAAAAAAAATAAATTGTAGCACCAATCTGTGCCAACACGGACATCTGGCAATCTGTGGAATTCTAATTACCTCTTTACGCCATAGGCCATATTAAGCAAATTGTCCAGCCTGAAAAGAGAAGGAGGGTCTTTGGGTTAATGTCTCACAGATGGCAAGATCGCTCAATGGAACTATTATTAATAGCATTCCATTTTCAAAGAAGAAATGTTCAACAAGTTTCCCACACATCTAAAGAGCCTAACAACTCGTGGCCTGCTTTGTTAAGTTTGAGATTGTGCTTAAGTTTCCACCACTGGATTCAAAACAATTTTAATTCATCTACCACCTTTAAAACCTTACTTCTCCTGGTTTGATTTAGTTTTAACAAGATAGACTTTTGGTTTATCGATTTAGACAGCATTACGAAATCTTTGCAAATATTCAACTGCTCACCTTCCAAATTAACTGGGAAAGAATGGCAGTACAAAATAAATGGAATTGAAGAAAACTTTGATTTTAGCTACTTCGACATAATCTCTCCACTAGGATACACTTAGTAGCAATCCTGCACAATACATCAGTTCGAATGACCATAAAGTTGTGCAGAACGCATACAGTCATCAGCTTTCTGAAAGCCCTTTACTGACAGAACATTAAGCTGCATTGCAAGATACACTAAATACGTGTTCGCCTTTGAATCAGTCAAATTACTTCATGATCTTCATTCATTAGCACTTAGCCAGCAAAAAACTTGAACTTTGAGTAATTTGGTAAAGCTACTCAGTTATGGAAACATTCACTTTTTTCCCAAAGAGGCTTCAATTTGAATGCTGAGTTGCCTGAAAGCTGTTACAAGAATAACAAGGACATCATGTATTGCAAACACTGGTTTATGTATCAGATGGAATCAGTATCATCAGAATATATACAATAAAGTATCTCCAAAGATATCTCTGGAAACACATCAAGCACTAATACAAGGTCTCTTCACAGCAAGAGCAGATATCTTAAGCTAAATTTAATGATACTGCTGCCGACTGGAACAGACTCAGCTTTTTTCCTGCTACCAATCCATTGTCATTAACATCAAAGTCTAGGCTGCATCAAAACTGTAATAATACAGCAGAAAATAAAAGCATTACCAAGAAAATGCTAAGAACAGGGTATTCACTGCTCATTTGATTATCAGTGCAACTTTGTTCTGTCCTCCCTTTTTTCTATGAGGCTTCATGAGATCCGATAGTACAGTACTTCGGCTGTTTTAGTAAATACGACATGACTACTGCTGTCAGCAGATTTTCCTCCTCATTCTCCAGGAAAGAATATTTAATTTTACGAAGAAAATCAGGTCAGCCTACGCAACTAAAGCACATTTCTCCTGCATAGCACCTGCCCCACATCATCGTCGCTGGTAGAACTTCAGTTCTTTTCCAGGTAATTACCTGAATCTCTGAGCCTGGTGGTGAAGCGGTCCAGGGTAGCGTCTGTTAGGAGATTGATACAGCTGTGAAAGGAGTGCCTGGCTTGTTTTCTGGCTGGGGTTATTGGCAAACTTCACAGTAATTGGTTCTGTAGCACCGCTAGGCTTCTGGCCATTTAGTCCCTTTATGGCTTCTTCCGCCTCTATTCTCTTATCAAAACGGATAAATCCCACACCTCGAGAAACCCCTGGGAAGTAGAAACGTGCAAACAAATGAATATATGCAGGAACTGCCTCATCTATGTCACGATGAAACAGAACGTTCATTTTGATTTAACACACTGCTTGCAAATTAAGATAAGTCTTATTATAAAGAAAAATACCATTCCCCAGTTGTGTTCTTTGCAATTAGACCCTACAATATTTAATATAATCATTTCAAGACGACAACATTGTGTTTTCCAGCCCCTCATTAAAAAAAGCAACCAAGCACAACTCCAAGCAGTAATAACTATAGAGTACTAGATATGTGTTTTACACAAGAAGAAAATCACATCATCTTAAACCCTACCACCAGCAAGCATTTGCAATTTTACCATCTGGAAAAACATGCACGCGTCAAGGAAACTTTTTTGTTTAACCTGTGACTTGATCAACCAGAATCCGTGAGGTGATGATGCGCCCATATTGTGAGAATAACTGCTCTAATTCTTTCTGGGTCATTGTTTTCGGAAGGCCGCTGACATACAAGTTCGCATCTCTGATTGATGCTGAACTTGGACGGGCATACGACACCTAGGGATTTAAGACAAAGAAATACCTATTAGTAAGCAGGGCTGCCCTTTGCATTTTAAAGACACAGATTTTCTTCTCCACAAGAATAAACCTTACATGGGCTGAACAGCCCTGAAGCCAAGGTGCTACCTGTCAAAAAACCAAACCAACCAAACCAGGAAAGGTTACAAGAACAAAGGCAGCTGGAGACTTCGACAACAAATGCAAGGGTTCTTTAAGCACAGGCACAAAATAGCTTTTGTTCAGAGGTAGATTAATGTGCGACCTCCCACGCGCTGCTTTGTAAATTTACCCCCATGAGTTGTGGGTGTATGGATGATGTACTGCATCCAACGTGCAATAACCTTAGAACACACAGCATCCTCAAGTTCTAGGGTGCTTTTCTTCTAGTATCTGAAGCACATCAGGTTATTTTCAGAATGATCTTTTGTGCTCTTTGTATTCTCATCCTGAGCTGGTGAAACCTGCTCCAGACGAAGAGCAAAGCGCTGGTAAAATTCAACTAAATGAACATCTGCTCAGGGAACTGCATACCGACACTCATTGTCATATCTGCAGTTTATCACAAGAAGTTCCTTGCGCTGCAAGCCCAAACCAGACCATAAAATATTATGACCAAATAAACAAGAAAAGCAAGCTGAGGCACTGCATGTATGCCATCAAAAAATTATTAAATCAAATCCTTCAACTGCTCTTCTGCCTACAAAAACATAAATTCAGAGCTGAAAGAAAAATCAGATCTATAAACTGTAATCAGATCTATAAATTGTAGTATGCGCATGAAAAGCCCTCTGCACTGTTACGATATACGCGTTTAGCATAGCAAATTGAACAAGAACACTTCCCAGATAAGGCCTAATTGCAAGCATTCAGCACAGATCACGAAGAACTACTTTGCAGCACATCTGAAACAGAGTCAGATCTAAACCTGAATATTTTGCACTTCATCTTGATTTAAATATAAACAGATCAGTACATTCCTGCACCATGTCTTAAAATGCTTTCTCGAAGAAATGAGGGGGTCCTGTCACAAATATAATGCTTTCAGTGATCGTCTTCCTCTCCTCCCCAGCCTCAGCCCCAACACAAATGATGTCAAATGGATGCCTTTATGTGTTTTTTGTGTCAAAGAGTTGTCTTTATCCGCTCCGCACCTAAAAATAGATGTTGACTCAACACAGAAAATGATGTGAATGACTAATATTTGCTTCCACTATCTTCTGCACATAATAGCAGACAAACTCAAGATTTTTCGTTTTAATATTTTTGGCAACTTCTTTATAACTCGTACATTTATACATAACCTTTTCAAACTAACATTTTGAGAGAAGGCTAAAAAGAGGAGGAAAAAAATTAGAGAAAGAGATGGAAAAAAAAAAAAAAAAAAGATTAAATAAAACATTTGCATCAACTGAGACAAGCTCAGGGGAAGCACACAGGCCTAACAAGCTGGGAAACACTAGAAATGGTGCTTGAAATCAGCTTTGCTGCGTTTGGTTTGGTGGCTTCACCCCTCAGGCAAGTACTGCTGCATGGCCATGGTGCGATCGGCATGGACCATAGAAGACCAGCAGGCCCAGCTCAAAGCCTCCCAGAACCGAGCCCTGCTGCCAGGCACAAGGAAGAGGGACCAGGGTGGGCATTAGAGTTTCAGAGCATGGCCAGATAGCAGGCTGGAGGATCAGCCCCACACCGGGTGCAGAGCGTGGGGCTGAACCCATCTCCTGAGGTCAGAGAGGTGCCTGCTGCCCACAGCCAGGCCCACACCACATCAGGCCAAGCAGAGCCTCTTTGCACCCGCAAGCACCTTACCTTAAGAGGGCACTGCCAAGGTTCAGACACCTCCAGCTTAACCTGCTTCAGGAATAACAATTTAAAAAACACTTAAGAGCCTCTCCGGAGCAGGGGTAGGGACCTTTCCTATTCCTCAAAACTGAGCTCTGCAAAATTAATAAAGTTTCTAGGAAAACAGCCAGAGGTTTCCTTTGGGTTTTCTCACTCTGGCACATTCATTAACCAAACGCCACATTCCAGGGAAGATGAAAAGTACTGGGATATGCAAAAACACTGCTTCCCAGAGCACGGAGTGCCTGACATTTCATATATAAGTACACACACACACACCTCAATGTAGGAAAAAAAAAGGCTCAGCTCTTTTCTTGTGGGCTATGCAGAAACGCAGAGCTAAGAGCCTGCATGCTCAGAAATTCATCTTCTGTCCGTACATGTAAGACGCATCATCACTCAGGTCTAATTCTTATTTCCTCCTGCAATCAAACACTCAGGTTGCAGGGGAGCCTGGGCCAAAGAAAGAAGCTGCCAAAAGCAACTCAGCTCTCTTCAATATCAAGGAGAAAAGGTTGCAAGCTGAATGGACACGAGGCAGTAGTGTCAATTATTTATCTCCTTTTGAATCTTTTTCATCTTCCCTCTGAGGTCAGCCAATGACAAATCGATTGGTTACACCACACCATCCTGCTTTCAAGCTATTATTCAGTTAGTGCTGAGGACTGGATGTCTTCCCATTTATTAACTACCTAAGGAAGAAAACATCCATCCCAACCCTCCCTCCATCTGACCAAAAGCAACGTATACTAAGCAAGCTAAAATGGGTGCTGAAATCAGCCCTCATTTTATCACTGAACTATGAAGGACTCAGGAGGAAGGCTGCATTAATTCTTTATTTTTACATCACGTTGCTCAGAGCTCTGTTAATGCTCTATAATAAAACAGCTTGTTAAAAAAAAAAAAAAAAAAGAATATGGAAATCTCAGCCACCAGAAGAAACAAGCATGAGCTAAAGTACACCAAACTGCTGCCTGAACCAGGCATTTCTCAGCACTCAAGTGCCTGTCCACACATCCATGCATGATATTGCATTTCACTACATTGTATACAATTCTTTGCTCCTCTGCAAGGAAGATAAAATACCATCTGATTCATTTTACGGCTTACCAACCTCCAATGTTAGATTCTAAAATATACAGAGATTTCCTAGCTAGGAAATCTCTCGTCTGTGAGCATCAACTTGTAAGAGCTTCTCTCTAGGACGAGCTACCCTCAGAAGAATCTAGGCTGCACTGTTCTCTCCAAACACTACTGGGGAGATTTAGGGTCCAGTGCTTCATACCTTTCACAGCAATGAACCATTCTCTTTGCTCATGAGCAAAGAAGAATCTCCAAGTCAAAGCAATTACTTTCTCTATTGATTCCGTACTATTTCCCAACGCAGAAAACTTTTTGAAAAATGTCTAACCTCCAGACTTCCCATCACGTAAATCAATGCAGTCTGGTCTTTCCGAGTCAGAGAGCCCACAAAGGCACCTAGAGGCATGAATGCATCCCATTTGTCTTCCAAGGCATGGCTCCGGATATTATCAGCCACCATTTCAAGAATGAAACTCCTGACCGTTTCACTGCTGTTTCTCTTCAAAGACTCCTTCAGCTCAAATGCTAATCCTGAACTTGTCAAAGTTTTCATGAAACGAACCAGAGCGACCTTCCTGGCTGCTGCCTGCTCCAAAGAGGACATCACTGTTAAGTGACACCCTGGGCAGCCTTCAAGAAGCCCTGTGTAACATCTTCAGAAGTACTGAGCTTTGCTGTGACCTTAAAAACATTTCTGAAAGGCTTTGTTTTGCCTGCATGATAAGCTCTCAGATGTAGGATCTCTGTGTGATTTTGGGGTGAGTCACTTAGTTCTCATGCAAGGTCCAACTACATAAAATGGGGACAAACCTGTCCTGTGCCCACCGCCTCCTATGACACTGATGCTTACTGGAAGCACTTCAGCAGAAGCACACATGGACACAAGCACAATCTCCCGTTCTGACCATGATCTATATAATGCCAGACAACTCATTACAGCCAGAAGACACTGCTTCCTCACAGCCACTCACCCGTGCCTCAATCCTGTGTCAAAACTCAGTCAGAATTAACTTTATTAGAATCAACCCAAGAACTAAGATCTGGAATAACTTCATGTCAGAGGCACTACTTTCTCTCCTGTTCCTAGCCCTGCGCTGAGGATGGCAGTGACGGGTTTTTGGACTGACAGTGCACTTTGCCACACAGCAATTCAATGCCGTTTTGCTTGGACTCATGATTGCTGGTAAGAAACAGTCTATCCCAACACTTCAGGGGAAGCATCCACAGATGACAACCTACAGGCACTCCGGCTGTTTCAAGAGCTGGGCTAAGAAATAATTGCTCCAGCTCTGTAGAATGAAAAGGAGCTCATTGGCAAAACTGAAGCAGTTAAGAAAGACATTTCAATTAAGAGCAGATGCACAAAACTACAGGTAAAGACTCTCTGGTGCCTGCTGAAAGCAGCAGAGCCAAATCTGAACCTTCAAATTCACCCCTGAAAGGTCCTTTGAGTCACATCATCGCTACAGGCAAAGGGATTTGTTAACCAGCATTGAAGTCCAAGCAAGAATGCAGACAGAAGCCCTTAAGGAGCAAAAACCTCAACTCCATCACAGCTTTCCAGATCTGAAAAATCCTTCCGTCCAAGGCTTCATCCAAGTGCCGCAGTTGCAGCATACACTTCTCTTACAAAGATTCTAACATGCAGAAGCTCATGATAAGCGATTACCTTAATGACCAAAGGAGGCACAGAGCAGCCATGTCCCAAACCCACAGCTGTGCATCCCATAACCTGAGTTTTTAGAGAAGGAAGGCGTGCACCACACGCCGCAGCTCTGTGGAACAGCACATGCAGACTTTCACAACACACAGCCAGCCCCACTGTCCCCATGCTCAGCTCCTGACATCCTCACAGCCCCGCTCAGATCCACCACCAACAGCTGTTCCTTCCACAGAAGGGACCAGAGGTGGCTGATCTTTGGTTATCCTACAGCAACAGAATGGGCTGCAGCTTGGCAGACAACCATGAGAGTTGCACAGAGCCTGAATGCCGCAGAAATACCTGGCCTTTAAAGAAACACCAGAGCAACCAATAACCAAGTAGTAACACTTCACTTCCAGAAAATACAGGAGTATTTTCTCCCACAGACCTGTTTGCTGTATTTTCAACTACCACCACCCTGTCCTATCGATCAGAACAGATTAAAGTAGAAGTAAACATATGAACAACAAAAATAGTAGCAGTTCTATCCCTTGTTATTTTTTCACTGAACTGAAAGTGAGAATAACCCGAGACGCAGAAGCAGCCTCTGACCAGAGAGGAATGATGCTACTTCTTTGGTGTTAAGTCCACCAAAGCTTTGACATAGAACCAAAAGGAATTCAAGGCTCACAGAACCCAGCTCCCTTCTCCCCTCACAGAGGGTTCTTTCCACTCCAGCAGCTGGCACAGCACATTACCTGCTCCTGTAGGAGAAGAACAAAACAAATCTATTTCTCAGGGGACAGAGAAAAGGAAGAAGGGGATATAAGACCGCACTTCAGGTGGTCAGCTGCTATCTTTTTATTTCAAACCTGCTTTCAGAATTCTACTCTGCCCTTGTTCCAGCATCCCCCAACGTGAACCAGGTCACCTGAATCATCAGTAAATAGCAGAACACCTCCTTCATGTCCTTTCAGATGCTGCCTGTTTTTTTTTCAGGGCAATGTAGGATTTAAGCAGCCTCTGCCCCACGTACCACACATTGTTTTCTCATATTTGATGCAACTGAATTGCAAGGCAATCTTCAACAGCAGCAGTGACCTTTCATACGCTTTTATGGATGGGCAAATTTAATTTCTAAAAAGACTCAATTTCTGGAATATACATTTATTTCAACACATGCTGCATCTTCCCTCATTCTAGATTATTTTGTAGAACTATGCCAACCTTTAGCTGTAAAAATGAAGTGAAGCCCTTTTCCTCTCCCCCGACAAAATGAGGGTGCTATGAAACAGCATAAATAACACATGCTCTGCAATCAGCTGAGGAGGATCACAACCTGTGTAACCTATTACCACTGAACGCGTAACACTTCCCTCAATGCTCACTTCCCCCAAACAGATTTCTGCAAATAGTCACCTCTCGACTTTGACTTGAAAGGGCATCACTGACTTAAATAAAATGCACATAAATATTATAGCTGCTTCAGTGAAAAGGGATTATTTATTCTAACAATGAAATAAAACGCATTTCATTTGGTTATTTTAGTCCACACATCTGAGAGCAGGCTGTGCTGGGCTGTTCTGCTGATCCTGCTGGAAGCCAGATCCTCCGGAGCCAGCATGGCTGCTTTGCATCAGGAGGAAGAGAGAACATTCAGCTGCCACGAGATGTTACAGAAGTGGAAAGGACAGGATCTGGGGACACATGCAGAACTGGAAGCTACTGAAAATGCTTTTTTTCTTCTCGTCAACAGGAATTAAGGCTTATGGGGTCAAAATACAAGCGCAAATGTGACCCCCTGGAGCCAGCTATCATCCAGCCCAGGCACACAGACATAGGATTGCTGAAGCAAGGAGATGGGAAGGAACAGCCAGCAGGGCCAAGGTGACCTTGGGGTGCGGAAGCGATCCGTGTCTCTGAAAGGCCTTGCACAGCTTATTTATGTGAACTTGCTATCCAGGCAGCTCTCCGACAAAACGCAGCTGAAGAAATGCTAGCGCAGGCTGCAGCTATCCAGCACCCACAGACAGGCTGAGGCCGAGGGCTCAACCCATCCAGCAGCACTGCACTGCAGAACAAAACCTAAGCCCTGCTCACAAGGAGAACAGCATAAATTCATGCTCACTACTTTTCCCATTTAATGTTATTTTAGTGTTTTAACTTATTTTTAGCCTACAGAGCTATATGCCACCAAGTCCCTCTCCATATATCATCTGAGAAACTTTAACGCATTGGAGGTGAGCGGAACACAACAGCACTGAGCACAGCTCTGCTGCTCCAGGCAGTAGGGACACGGCTGGTGGCATGGGCACGGGGAAAACATGGCTCACTGCTCAGTTGCACCAACACGGGAAAGCCACCTTCTCCACAGCAGTGCCAGGGAAGCAGACTTCATCTAAGATTTCTGTTTTTAAATGAGCAAAGATACAATTTAGAAATACAAAAAGCCATGAATGAGGCAGCCCACACAATGCTACAATTAAGAACAGAGCTAGAGGCAGCTGGTTTGGTGTCCCTCTGTACAAAGGTTGGCTACTTCAAGAGCAGACTCCTTTGGTTTGGTTGTTGATGGTGTTAATATTTGAAAGCACATTGAAGTCTACGCAGCTCCTTCCAAAACCACTGACAGAATTACGCAGCTCCTGTACATGTAGGTTAGGTTGATCTCTGTTTATTAGATTTAATGGCTTTCAGGGGTCCAACAAAGTGTCACAAGCTCCAAAGAAGTCCTGCAGTTATTAATAAGCATGAAACAAGCACCAATCTCATGAACTATCAGTATTGATAAAATTTGAAGTGAATAAAAAAAGAAAGGAAAAAACATTTGGTAAGAAGTTCTGGCATGGTAGGTTTCTGCGTAGCACAAAGATTTCATTACTAAAAGATAAACCATTAAGCCTTCCCTTTTTAATTCTGCAATTTAATTAAGTGTATTCATGAGAAATGTAAAATCGTTTCAGGAGTTTTTGGAGGTTATTTTTAAGCTTACGTGGTTCTGTAACTGTGGAGTTATCAAATACAACAGCTTCGCTCTGGCTCACAAAAGAAACATACAACACAAAATCAGTACTTAAGACAAGAAATGCAGCAGCTTTAATAAGCTGAATAGTGTTCAAAATATAGATTAGTTTTTAAAGATCTAAATCAAGTGTGGCATCAAAGCTGCACTAAGTTTTTAATGAAGTATTTAATACACAGTAACTGTTCTCCAAATATTTTACTTTTCCTGACAATGTAAAAGTAATCTGGAGAGCAACTCACTGCTCAGCTTTTAACTGTAAGCAGAAGAAAGTGCTGAGTCCAAGCGCACATTTCCACCTGCAGTGGTAGATAAGACTGGAGATTCTGCTGCTCTGCCATATATTTTCCTGTAAGTTTTTATCTCAATTTAACTTTCCAAAATCAGGTGGAAAGCACTTAGATATACAGCCTGCATCCATATCTATGGGATGGACCTGTCTGGTCTAAGGAAGGTCTGTAAGGAGTAAGGTCCATGCAACTGCTATGCCTAAAGCCCTCAGAACCTCAGCTCCTGAGCAACCAGAGCAGCTAAAAAGTGATCCTCAGTGGTGCTAAGGAACTAAAAAAAAAAAAATAAAAAAAAATACACTTTTGCTTTAAACAACAACACTACCTAAACCTCAACCATTAGAGAGAAAAAGGAGTACTGACCATATGCTACTTTCTCTAAGATAAACTGGTTCATGCTCCATGGATGCTTTCAAAACAAAATTATTCTATTTTTATACTCCATAATATTTTTAGCTTTAAGCACAATTGAAGCAAAGAATGTTAAGAAACACATCTAAATTCAGCATTCTCAAATAATCTACTTCAGTTTGAATCACATTTGGTGCTTTGTCCTCTTCAGATTTTTATTCATATGTCCTAAGCTGCACTATTTATCAGATCTCGGGATGGAGAAATCTTCTGTAAGCCTTTCTGAAACAGCTTCATCAGCCAGGCAGCAAACAACACGACTGTAGAAATTTGCTTTTCTTGTGAGACCACTAAAAGAGGTCATTGAATAACTAATGGTCTATTACAACAATGAAATGAGAGACTTCAGTGGGATCTCGAATCCCTCCAGCTTTTAAAAGAGTAAATCAGACTAAGGATGGGGAAATGGAGATTTTCTTTGAGAATGAAATATCCTAACTTGAGAGATGTACCTTCAATACCTGCTAATGACACAAGTGTCACTGAAGACTAATTCCACGTGAAGGTGCTTCCCATAAAGACAAAGGAAAGTGTGCGAGTTAATTACAAACACGCGGTCCTGTATTTTACATCTGTTTATGGTAACAGCATCACTGCGGCTGTTCTCTTCTACATTTAGATCTCACTGCAACATTTTAAGGGAGAGGGAGTAACAGAAGGCTCCTTAACAATAGCTGCAATTTTAGAGAAGAGATTTCATCTCCTGCACATCTTTCCCCTGTTCCAAGAAGGAGCTTGTTAGCTGAGTGCCCCTCGCAATGACAGATTAAAGTAGTGGCGAAATTGCCAGAAACTGTTTCAACTATTTTATCTTCTTCCTGAATTGAACAAAAGGCTTTTTATACTGTCTTACCTTTATGGTTTTGGTCTGGAGTCTGAGTCCATTTAAAGTATTAATGGCTTTCTCTGCATCCTTTGGATCAATGTAGTTAACAAATCCATATCCTAAACTCTGCCCTGTTGAAACAAAAAAAAACAAGGAAAAAAGGATTCAGTGTGGTTTTTTTTTTGGAAGCACACAGCTTTCAATATCACGATCAACATTTACTTTCACTGTTCCTTTCACCACTGCTATTCCCTATGGTCTGTATGCCATTCTTCACTACTTTGTTACCAAATTTTTTTTTTTTTTTTTTAATCAGTTTCTGCTGTTAAAGCTCTCACTCTGAAGATCCTACTTGCAAAACAGAAGGAAGCAAGTCCCACCCTTCTCCAAGAGGTCACTGTAAAGGTACAAGGCTTGACATCAGCAAAATTACATAAGAGTTCCCAATAAACCTAACTGGTTGACTTGCCAGAACAATAAGGAGGCCACCACTTCAAAATTATAAACACACAAATGCTACAGTTTATAAACAAATCTGTAGGTGTTTGAAAATGCAAAAATTAGGAAACAATGTCTTCACATCAACCTTTAGGCAGCTGACTGGGAAGCAGACAGCCACCTTTACATCTCATTTCATTGCTCAGTGAGCAGCCAGGAAATGGGAGGAGAAAGGACAGCTCTCGGATAAAAGATTGCATTAAAGCTTCCCTCAGTGCATATAAGATGACAGCAAAAGCAAAACAGTACAACTGCTGCTGTGCATGGGATGGCAGGAGCCCGTTTCAGCAGCCAAAATCATTCCAACAGCTTCTGTTTTCACTGTCTGACTAGCCAAACCTTGCTTGTGTTTGCAGCAGGAAGAGGAAATCCAGTTAGGAACTCCGGCACCAGCGATGCAGTGGCAGCAGCACTGTGAGAACCTCATTCACACAGTACAGGAACAGAGCAGTGCATCCGCAGGGGGCCATGGAAGCCCTACCAAAGACACCTCTTCCCAGTTCCAAGTATCACATTGCAGCATTGATCCGAGTAGCAGTACAAGAGCACAGCTTCCCCCTCCTTCCTCTCACACCTTCTCCTGAAGTTATTTTGCACATTTAGAAAACGCAGTAATTGCTATGTGTTTTTCTTTAAGGCACACGAACTTAAGACCCCACTGGCACAGATAAGCTCACCGCAAAAGCCACACGAACCCAAGCAGGAAGCAGCGCCTCCTGCACCTTGGCCACATTGCTGCCCATGTCAGCAAAGCCAGCAAAAAAGGGGAGTGTGAACACCCCCTAAAGGGGACAGCACTGCCCTTGGACTCGGCTTGACAGAAGGTTTCCAAACAGCACAGCAACAAACGCAGCTCCCTCTCACTGGAAGAAAGCAGTGGCTGAGAAAGCAGCCGCACACAGAGCGCCTCGATGTACCCCGCAGGCACGGACTCTGCCTCCTCGGCACAAGGCTTTGTTTCTTTGTCTCCTGGACTACAAAAAAAGCATCTGTGTTTTTCTCAGACACCACCAAAAATACAGTGCTTCACTGTACCACAAATAGGGAGTGCTTCTGTCTTACAAAATCTGATCAAAGCACTAAGAGCTGCTAACCACGCTATGGAATACCTAAAAATCCATGGAAACTGCAGCTTGTTCCTAAAGTGCCCACATGCAGGCGTATGGGTAAGAAATAGCTGTTTTAAACTACAATATATTCAGGGAGCAATTTCATCCAATCAATTTAACTTCAGACAAAAGTCTAAAAACATACCCAGTCCTCTTGGAGAACTGAATTAATCCCAGCAAAAAAAATATATTCTTACCTGATTTACATAGCATTAACCAAGAATGAACTGAAGGCTGCCTGAGCAGAAGCTCCTCCTGCTATGCCTTCCTCCTACTGCCTGCCCAAGATGCTCCATACAGCCCTATCCCCTGTGCATCTGAATGTGCCTTAATGCATTTTGTTTGATACACTCCTAGGGAGAAGGGAGCCCTTCGCTAGGAAGCTACCCTTGTTTTGATAGAAGATAAAAGGGATCAGGGCCTGGGTACCCCAAGTCCATCTGCCTGCTCTTCCATCTCTCACATACTGATCCTCAGACGCATGCAGCTAACACAAGGCTGGACAAGCCTTTAATCTTTACACTTCTGAACATCATAGAATGTGTAACTACTGACAGTTGGAAGTTAGTCGTCCATAAGCTATCTATTATGACTTTGTGTTAAGTACCCATATCAAGTATCCTAACTGCTTTAATGGCTGTTCTAAATAAGTTAGGATGTGCCTATCCAGCACTCTGAACACCGAGTTCCTTGTAATTAAAGAAAACCCAAAGCTTCAGATAAAAAGCTCAAACCTCACACCCTTCGCAGTCTGAATCTCGGCACCGTTGCTTCAATTAGCAAATCCCCACTGCTGCATGAGGCCATATGCTTCACTTTGCACCAGTGAAGCTGAAGGGAAAAATCTTTCCATTAAGAGCATACCTCTTCAGAAAGATCTTTTGCTTGGACTACTTTGTGCTTTCAGGTATTCTGTATACAGCACATCTCTCCTGAATGCCACTGCTTAATGAAGACAGACACACCTCTCTCAGAAAGCAAGAAATTGGAAAGAAAATAAACCCAGAACCAAAATCATTTTGTGCAGAGCTTTACGACTGCTGGCAGACATCATAAAGTTTTACTGTGCTAAACATTTACAGCTAAGAAGCAACAAAGAAAGATATAACCCAGCTAAAAATATTATTTTCAAATTACTCTCAGGAGCAACACACCTTATGTCAGACAAAATAGATTCCAAAAATGAATAACTAAAAATTGTTACTGGAAAAAGAAAGAATTTTATTTCTTCTCCATATTCCAGAATATGGAAGTGAGAACTTAGGCTTTTATCCATCTCCATCCATGGAGTACATACATATTCCTATTGTATGTACTCTAAAAGGGCAACATTTCTTAGGACGCAATCTGGCACCACAAAGCAAGCAGCTGGACCTCTCAGTGGGATGCCACACAGACACTGAAGTTCATTCCCATGCTACACTTCCCAGGAACAGCACCGTAAATAGTAAATATTTTCTGTGATTTGGAATCTAATAGGTCACTGCATGCTGTGATTCAGTAGGGTACGCAAGAGATACTTAACGATCCTAGAACACCACCCTTCTGCAGTGCTATTCCCACTCCTCTTTCATTACTTGTGAAACTTGTAGAAAGTAAATAGCAGACCTGTGATGAGGTAACAAATAGGTCCAGTTAGTGCTAGAAGTGATCCAGATTTCAGTGCCTTAAAACAGTCAAAAAACCCAAACACAAAGCCAAGTCCAAGCCTGCAGTGTAAATACTCGCTATTTCAGAAGGCTTCATTTCAGAGCTGGAAGCCACTGAGATCACAATGAAATCAGATGAAGGTGGAAAAATAAACATAACCTGTTCAGAACATTCAACCACATGCCCTCAAATCTGCAACTATTAAAGAAAGAAAGAAAGCCATACCAAGGCTTTCAAGGCCTGTACTTGCCTTCCTCTACGACGTAGTCTGCTTGAGCCAATGCCACATTTGTACTTGAAGAGATAAAGGGGAAACAGATGGCAATGTAAGTTACAACAGAAATGCCAGCGGAAATTGAGGTAAATAAAGAGCCCAAAGAAACTCCTGGCAAGGAAAGTTCAGAATAACCCTCTTTAAAAAAAAAAAAAAAAGAACTACAAAACTACAGGGTGAAAAGAGACCTTCAAATTAGCACTGACTCATTAGTGGATCTTAATAGCAATGGGGCAGAGAGCAGATGTGTTATATACATCTAAAGAAGCAGCACGAAGTGCAACCAGCAACTCAGGTGGACATAAAGCAGCTGCTCCTAGCATTGATCATGTTTAAATGAGGTGACTGTGCTACTTGCACAGAATAGCCCTCAAAAAATAAGAGGCAAATGACTCGTTATTTTCAGTAATTCTTAGAGCACTAAGCAAATTCCAGCAGCTTGAAGGAAAGAATTCTGCACTGAAATAGAAAGAGGTTGGACTGGTTGACCCAAGTAATTACAGGTCCATCAGCCTAGTGCCAAGCAAGGCAAACTTACAGAACATTTGATACTGGACTCTAATAATAAAGAATTAGTGAAGGGTAATATAATCAGTGTCAATCAAATTAGCTCTATGGAAAATAGATTCTGTCAAACTGAACTGACATCCCTCTTGATGGGATTACAAGTTGGACTTATAAATTTTAAGAATGTCAATTTAGTAGCGTCAGTAGTGTCAACTGATAGACTCAGTCTTCTATAAAGCACTTGATTTGTTACTGCTTATTAACTGACTAAAAATTAACATGCTACACATTAGATGAATTAAAAAAATATCAGCTGACATTTCAAACAAGGAGTTGTGAATAAGAAGTCAACAGAAAGATGCTTTCCTGTCCATCTCTCTCTGTAAACAGATCTTGGCCTTGAACTGTTAAAACATTTTTGTTGACAAGTAGAAAAAAAAAAACAACAAACTCCTGGCTTCAGAATGTTGCAAACAGCAGAAGGACAGGATTAGAGGAAATGAACTAAGATGACAAAACTCAGGTACAGAGCAACTAAAGCTCCTCAAAGCATTCCAAGTAGCCTTGGACTATATACCTTCAGACAGCACACACCCAAGATCACAACCCTGCAAACCACAACTCTCAGCGTTATTTCCCAAGCACAAATTTGCAAGGGAAGCAGAAGACTCAAATATGGAGATAATCAACCACATGTCAAGCCTGCAATGCTGCCAATAGGGTTACAATGATTCTTTGTAGTATAAAACCCACACATTTGACTAGGGAAAAAAAACAGTTGCTATAATCCAATTTAGTTGCATGGTTAATTGCCGTTCACCAGACCTGGGCATGGTGCTGTGTTTCATGTTGAATACCAGTGCCTTGGAGATGGTAGAGAAGCACCATGAAAAGAGCCAGGATTGAAACGCTCTTTCAATCAAAAGGCTAATAGAGACCAATCTGTGCCTGAGATCAAGGTGAAACTTAACAACACATCAGTATCTGAAGTACAGATTTCCACCCCGCCCAGTAATGTCCGTTCTCTGGATTACAAAGAAGTATTAAAATCTATGGTCTCCACTACAAAGAATTACTCATGAAAACAGCAGAG